TCCCAGTGGACTATGTCTGTGAATTAATTATAACAGGTGCTTACCCATTTTCTCTCTCACTTACCTGCTCCATGATTAAGGATATATTTAAAAAATAATACTCCTCCGGTCCTTAATATAGGACCCAATTGTTGAGTTGGTTTTGGTCTTAAATATAAGACCCATTTCTCATATTTATCAATTTTCTCTAAATTACCCCTATGAATATTCCCTCAACCATAATCAAGTAGAAGAGAGAGGGGGTATTAAGGAAGATGATTATGGTATCTTAGGAAAAACGTGTCACATTTATTATAATTAACTAACTTACCTAACTTCCTTAATATAATCAAATTAGTTAAATGGATCTTATATTAAGGACCGGAGGAGTACATGATATAATTCAATTGAAAAAAATGACAGAAGGACATATCCATACACATGACTTTTTATTATCAGTTTAGCAAAATATTCAACCAAGTGGTAAGAATCCAGCAGGCCTTGCTTTGACTTTGTATAGTGTTTATCCATTAAAAGGAAAATTCGAACGAGCAACGGTCGGCCTTGCTTTGACTTTGTATAGTGTTAATCACGCCGTGAGGTCTAATTAAATTTTTTTAAATATTATTAAATAATCAAAATATCCCTCTTTAATTTAAAAAATTAATTATTTTATCCCTTTTAAGCGATTCCTCGTCTTTTATGATTTTAAAAAAAATATACAAATAATTTCACTGTGTTTAAAATTTGTATATATAACTGAAACCATTACAAAAATTTTAATAAGAAAATGTTAAATTAGAAATATAAGTAACCTTTAAATTAATATTTTTATTTTCAATTTTTTATCATCTACGTTAGTTTTATTTATTAGCAGTGTTGGATTCAACCCAAAACGTAAATTACAACAATTTAATATTAAATATTTCATTTAAAGACTATTTATATTGTGTTATGAATGTTATATGTGGATGTTTATTTACTTTTTTTTCTTCAATTTCATCGAGTAACTACTACTACTTTTACTATGCATTACTCTTCCACCACTATATCTTTCTACTATCTATTTAATCTTGTAACTCACATCTACGCACATTCATAAAATTGATTATCCATTATTTGTCATTTAAGAATAAATATAACTCATGTGTAAGACCATGCTTATAAATAGGACATGTCATTTTGTGTTGTGGGGCAAATGAAGGAATACAATAGTTCTCTTATCTATCAAATGCTCACTTAGACAGTTATACCACATATGTTCTAATTACTTTAATCCAAGGTTCAAAAAACCGGACCGGACACTGAACCGGTCGAGACAGTGATTCAAGGGTTAATGGGTCAGATCGGGATTAGACCGGAATCAAACCGGTAATAATTAAAATAATAAAATTTAATTAAAATGTGTAAAATATTCATGTTTAAATATGAAAAAAATAATATTTAATTTTAGTTAAAATATGCAAACTATCTTGTTCATGTACATATATTTTTTCTTCTTTTCATTTCCGTTTTTAGTTCCTTGCACGTGACCCTCTTTCTTCCCCCCCGGTCCTTTTTGGCTTGAGTGCTTAACACGCTAGGCAAGGCTAATACTGACATGCTTTTCTTGCCTTCATTTTTGAACTTCCCGTAGCCTCTTCGTCTTCACTCTTATATTTTTTTTATTGTGCCTTGTACGGGTGATCAGTGTTTCTTCGTTCATCACCATCATGGTCTTGCTTTTTCAACTTCAAGCAGCTTCCAAAGTTTCTCTCTATACAGATCTGGTTAGCTCTTACAGAGGAGGACGATGGCAACGAAGTAAAATTACGGTGATCATCTTTTTTCCTTCTCCTTGCCTTCGTTTCCTTCCTCCCTCATATCCGACCTCCGACCTCCGTCCTCCTCTTCCCCTTCTCCTTCCTCCTCTCCTTCTCTTCTGGGTAAAATATAGCAACCCAGTGTGAACCATCGAACCACTGGGTTATTACGGTTGTTACCGAGTCGTCCCGGTTTAAACTGGGTTATGCCGGGTTAGTTTTTTCCCGGTTTAGAAGGTAAACCAGACCGGATAACTGGCCGGTTCACCGGTTTCCGGCCTGAACCGGCCGGTCCGGTCCGGTTTTTTGAACATTGCTTTAATCCATATAGAGATTTATTTAACTTAATTGAGTATTGCTCTCGAGAACTTGAATTGTATGTTTTTGGCAACTTGAACCCTTCAGAGAGTTCTATATGAATGTCATTGCAAGTCAGCCATACAAATATGTTGTAATAACATCCATCAGACGCAAATCAAGTCATTCTTTTACTGCTGACTAATTAAATATCCAAAAGTAGTTATGTCCACTACTTGTGAGTATGTTTCTTCAAAATCGATATTGGGTCTTTGTGTAAATCCCTAGGCAACAAGCTGTACTTTATATCTTACAATTTCACCATTTTTATTTTGTTTTCGCACAAACATTCATTTGCCTCTACTTGGTTTTACATCTTCAAGTGCATGGATTACAGGTCCAAAAACTTTTCGTTTTTCTAGTGAATTCAATCCTAGCTCAATTATGTCTTTCTATTTTAGCCAATTTTTTCTTAGTTTATATTCACTAATAGACTTTGATTCATGATCCCATTATCATTCATCACATCAAGCGCTATATTATATGCGAAAATATCATCAATGTTGACTTCATTTTGGTCCCATCATATTCCATTCATAATATAATTTATTGAAATCTCATTATTTTCGCACATTTTAGGTACCTGAGTTTCTTTTGAAACTAAGACATTAACATCATCTAATGGCTTTTCTTAAATTACTAATTTTTCTTGATTATCTTTAACTTGGCTATCTACATTTTTAGTTCTTTTTCTCTTTTGAAGATTTTTATTTTTGGAACTAATAGGCCTACCATGCTTTATGCGTGCTTTAGATTCATTTACAATAGCAGGTTATCTAACAAGGATATCAATTCTGATAGGAGCATTAGCAACTAAAACATGTGATTTGGTTACTTTTTTTGGGTCAGTAAATAGGTTTGGCAATTGATCAGCTAAATTTTGTAAATGGATTATCTTTTGAACTTCTAGTTTACATTGTTTTGTATGAGAATCAAGTTGAGATAATAAAGGTTTCTTCCAACTAATCTCTTTTTTCAAATGCTTATTTTCCCCTCCAAATATTAAAAATTTTGATTCATCAAAATGACAATCAGTGAATTGAGTCCTAAATAAATTTCCTGTTGATAGTTCTAGATATTTTATTATAACGGGAGATTTATATCCAACATATATTCTCTATTCCCATCCTTCTTTAAGGACCCATCTTAGTACGTTGTGGTGGAGTAATAAGAACATATACTGTACATCCGAAAATTCTTAGATGGGAGATATTAAGTTCCTAACCAAAAACCAACTGTAAAAGAGAGGATTTGAGATAATTTGTTGGCTTAATACAAATTAATATTGCTACATGCAAAATTGCGTGTCCCTAAGGAAAAATTGAGAGATTCGATCTCATAAGTAATAGTCTTGTAATTAATTGTAATCATTTAATTAGTGATTCTGCAAATTCATTTTGTGTGTGAATATCAATCCCATGAGACATACAATACTTATTGAAAGCTGGCGAAGTAAATTCACCAGCATTATTTAAACATATTTTCTTGATGGGATAGTAAGAAAATATGCTCTTAATCTAATTAATTGAGCAAGCAACCTTGTGAATACTAGATTGCAAAAGGATAATGAGTAAACATGCAACCGTTTTGTTGATGCATCAATTAAAACCATGAAATACCTATATCGTCCACGTTGTAGGTGTATCTGCCCACAAAAGTAATCAATAGGAAAATAAAACTAATCAATAGTTAAATAAGAGTAGTCATCAAATTTTTAAAAAACAAAAGTAGTAAATTGTGATATTAGAATAGTCAATAGCTAAACAAAAGTAATCATTAGAATTCTAAAAACAAATATAATTAATAGCTAAACAGTGGTAGTCAATACCAAAACAACAGTAGTCCTTGAACCTTTAGCAATTGATTGCAAGAGCTTCGATGACATGTTGCCTAAGTTCTGGTGGCCGTCATCATCGCCACTGCCAGAGCTCTAGTAGCTAGAAACTGGCTAGAAGTGTTGAGGTGGCAATCTTAAAATGGGGGGAGGGAGAAGAAGAAGGACATTTACGTCATTTTGCTTGCAAAAGAAGGAAGAAGGGACGTCTCATTCCTTTCAAAACCTCGAAATAGTACAACGGATTTTCTTTAAAATTTTAAAATTCACTCGCACATTTAATAGTTTTTAGGATATTTTATTTTTTCTTGACAAAAACTCTTTGTTGCCGGTGCAATTCCCTCCTTTCAAGTGACAAGAGTACATAACAAATGTTGGCCCATACTTTTTTCTTGTTCTCATTTGCTTCCCACTTATAATAGGCTTCGTCTTATCCATTAGGGATGGATCCGAAGACATTTTCCAAAACTCTCAATTGCCAATTAAACAGCACAACCAATTAAAAAAGAGCAATAACCTTGAGCCCTGTTACGAAAAAAAAAGTAGAGAATAAATTTCCTCTAATTTTCCTTATCATATTAAGGAAAATGAGACAAATATTCTCTCCCCCTCTCTCTGTTTTTTTTTTAAATAAAAAGGATGAGCAAAAACATGCAAGAAGATTACAGAAATATTAGGATGGAATCAAAATCATGATTTTAAAAGAACTTTTACAGTATACGAAGTAAATATATGGATAAGTTTATCTTGATTTACGAAAAAGTCATGGTACCCAAATTATTGGAGAAAAAAAGAAAATCGATAATTTTATACAATATAGTATTATGTTGATATTTTTAGGTTTTATTATTTCTGACAATGGAAAGCTTAGGACTTAGTTCAAGTTTGCAAATTTATTTGGGCCTAAAAGTGTTGCAAAACCAATAATCGTAATCTGGATCTGGTTTCAAGAAGCCCAGCCCATTAACTTCGAGAGCCCAAATTAACGAAACATAAGGTCACTAGGGTTGCCTTATAGTTTCGATCTCACCAAATTCTCTTCCTGTCTTGCTCTGTGCGTTTCTGTGTTCCAAGCTCCCGGTAAGCATCAAGATGGCCGCCGTGGTTGCTCAACCTCCGACTCATGATCTCTCCGAGCCAGTTATCGACGTCAAGCTCTTCAATCGCTGGACCTTCGACGATGTTCAGGTTTCGATTTTGTGCATTGTCGATCTCGTTTCTCCATTTTTTTTTGGTCTTAAATTGTAGCCTGTGTTTAATGCATAGTAGTTTGTACTTATTCTGGGATGTCTTGGAAGGGACTTCGTTTTTCCTTCTTCTCTGATGGATATAATGTCTTGAAAGACTGCAGATTTGTATAGAAGATTTCACTGAACTTTATTGAAGTTGCTAATGCCTTCGCGCATGTTTCGAACTTGAGACGTCCTAACTGTCACTTGCACATCTTTCGCTCTTCAGGAGATTATATTTCTGAAACTCATATATAAGCAAGACTGGGGTTAATAGGGTAGGTTAATGGTTATGAGTATTAGGTCATTATAAGTGGGGCTGAAATTCTTTAGGGCGACTACTCTACGTAACATCATCTCTGATTGATGTTCTTCGCCTAATTGGATGAGAATTAAAATCAAGCAGGTGAACAACTTGGTCAATTCCTGCCCTTTTTGGGAGGAACTTGGAAGGGATATTCTGTTAATTACCAGTATCCGCTGCCTGGGAATTTTATACCTGTGGTCCTTTTGTTGGTTGCTATTGTTGCTATAAAGAGCTGTCATTCTGTGCTTTTTCTGCATCTCTTTTTTATGCTATAAAAACCTTTATTCTCTTGATGTAGAAGGACTCGGTAGTTCTTTGAAAATTAAAATTAATTATATGTTGTGATTTTAGGTAAACGACATATCCTTGGCTGATTACATTGGCGTGGCTCCTGCCAAGCATGCAACCTATGTGCCTCACACTGCTGGGAGGTATTCAGTCAAGCGTTTCAGGAAAGCACAATGTCCAATAGTTGAGAGGCTTACCAACTCTCTCATGATGCATGGGCGAAACAATGGCAAAAAGCTAATGGCAGTGAGGATTGTTAAGCATGCAATGGAAATTATCCACTTGCTAACTGATCAAAATCCCATTCAAGTTATTGTTGATGCTGTGATCAACAGGTATGAAAACCAAGAAAAAAAATGATCTTTTCTTTTTATAACTATGAAACAATATAATTTCTTGCTAATCTATATTTTCATTTGTAACATTCCTTTCAAATGCTTTTGTATGTTATTCTAGTGGACCAAGAGAAGATGCTACTCGTATTGGGTCTGCTGGTGTTGTCAGACGTCAAGCTGTGGATATATCTCCTCTGCGACGTGTGAATCAGGCAATTTACCTCCTTACTACAGGAGCTCGTGAGTCTGCATTCAGGAACATTAAGACGATCGCAGAATGCTTGGCTGATGAACTTATCAATGCTGCAAAGGGATCATCAAACAGGTATTCGTGGCATCGAATTTTAGCTCTAGTAGATATAGAAATTCTTCAAGTTTGTATCTATTCCTTGAAAATGTCATGCCTGTGTAGTCCTCTCACTACTTTTTGTTTCTGATAATTGTTTTATTCAGTTATCATGCTTTCTGCATGTTATCAATATTTCTTTCTATGGATGCTGACTATGACATGAAATTCTTCAGCTATGCCATCAAGAAGAAGGATGAGATCGAGAGAGTTGCTAAGGCCAACCGTTGAGGGATGGAGAGTGGCATGGTATTTAGAGTTTCGGTTGAGTGGCTTTTTTTCATTGCCTGTTGCCCATGAGTCTTCTGTTCCTATTGAACCTAAAGTGAAGATATGGTTGCTTATTGTTTAAGATGTAGTTTGTCACTAGACAGTAGATTTTATCGTCAGAAAGCATAATTTTCAATTTTGAAGTTATGATATCATATGACTGGCTCCTTCATAAAGTTTTGTTGAAGTTAAATTATCGAATCAGAGTATTCCTAGTGTCCCAGGTTAATTTTCGAACCTATGGTGATTAATATTTTTTTCATTATTCGAATGTATTGCATGCAGACTCGGATTCACCTTCTCGAGTCTGACCATCGTGGACTAGTGTTTCTACAATTTAATTCAACATTGTTAACAGGAATTTCAACAAATGACAGTTACGGCCTAACGCTGCTGTTGGTTAAGGTGTTGACCAAAGTGTATCATGTGAGCTATAAACAGTTGATTTGGGGAGGTATCGAAAATCAGGCAAATGGTAGGGTTAAACCTAGGCTTGTGGAGAAGCGGCCGCAAACCACGTTGGTGCTTCCCGAAACACATTGATTTGACAAAATTGATCTTATTGACACATGCCAATGGCAAGCTAGCAACTTGGAATCCCATTTCTTTGCTAGATTTAACTTTGATCATAGGCCCTAAACTTTACTGGAATTGTGAATGGATGAAAGTTGATCACGTTTATAAACTCTATTCAAATCGTGGGGCATTTGGCCAACTTTCAAAACTATGGTTTGGGTTCCAAATTTGCCAAACAGGAAAGAAATTGATAAACTATGGTTTTGGATCAAAATCATAAAGTGAATTCATTTTGCTTCTGGTTCAAATTGGAGGGTATGATTGTGCTTGTCAGAGTAGATTCAAACGGTAATATGATTCTAACACTCAATTATTTTTTTATAAACATTTAATTTTATATTTTATAAATATATGTACACATTGATTATTTATTAATTACATTATCTTATATATTATTAATTATGTTAGTAAAAAATATATTATTAACAATTTTATTTTTTCAAATTAAAATATATTATAAGATATATTTTTTATGTAATTATCATATTAACTTATGTATTTCTTAGTAATTTGCACATATAAAAAGTGTTTCTAATAATAACTATCCAAACAATTTCACTTTATCAGAATCATTTTTTCATAAAATCTATTCTCTCAAGAATCTATTCAGAAGATATTTTTTAAACCATAGTTTAGTTTCATCTAAATATTTCTTTTAGTGTTTGCTCTCCAGTTATTAACGGAAAAGGATTTGCACTCCAGTGGTGAAGTTTTAATTAAAATTTTTGGTTAGGCAGTAAAAGTTTAATTTGTGTATTTGTCTTTATCTCTTTGGATTATTCAACAGCAAGACACGCCAAAGCAATTTTTCTAATAAATTATTACTTCATATGAGAGTTATTTTAAGATTTCAATTTATTTTGTGTTTTTATATTTATTCATTTTTTAAAAAATAATTATGTTAAAGATCACAAATAAGTAACTTAATAAATTTACTTAATTCATTTAAATTAGTTGATTAATTCTTATATTAAGTACCACAACTAGTAATATTTAACGTTCAGAGCCATTTAACATTTTGGCCAGGTTGAATGTTATTGTTTTTGCAGGATCTCGATTTTGCGGAACTATAATGTTGTCAACTTAGGTAAGATAGTAATGCCAATTTCATAAGCTTCATATCAGCTTCAGTTTTCATTCTAAACAGCGAATTAGATGCCTGACAATCGAATCTTCCTCTCAGTCTACCTCACTTGTTACCTTGAAACCAATTTCATGAAGTGCGAATTCTTGTTCTTTTCCTCATCCATCCTCTTACATTCTCTTTTGAAAGTTCATAAGCACTTGAAAAAAATATTTTCACAGTCTGAAACAAAACTATTTTCATATGCATATATCGTACGATATAAAATTATTTAAAATAAGCTGATCCAAACACTATTTTTTGAAAAGGTAGAAATAATAAAATCCATGATCAAAGGTTCTATTTATTACAAGGAGTGGTTGGTATTTGCATTGGCGTTGAGATTAGCCATTTTGGCATGCTTGACAGGAGGACTTCATCAAATCTGAAATTACACAATACCGCCTTTTATGGAATTGGTACCACCACCCTATTGGTATTAAAAAAATTAATTATGGGATTACATATTTCTTGACCAAATTGCCTTTCACCCCACCATCTCTGTTGGTGACGTCTTTGCTTATTGCAACCACCCCCAAGGGCAACGTAGACGATAGATTTGGGTCGTCTTCTTTGAGTGGCGAACAACCATCGAGTGATTTTGCAGATTTGGGTCTTCATGGAAAGCTTCAAATGCGAGCACAACGAAGTATAATTCTTTTCTCTGTGGCAAGCTTCAGAGGCGATTGAGTGATGTTATAATCTTTTAATAATTTATGGTAGATTATAAAATTAAATTAACGAAAGCATTGCCCTCAAATATTATTCTCACTCTCACTCTTAATTCCACTCACATTCCCAATCCAAGACTCACGCCTGCGTACCAAACAGGGCCATGGATCATGCGTTAGCATTAAAAGTGATTAGTCATTGGAAATCATGAATTATGAATGTTAGGGTTATTGATTCACCAGAAGTCCTTACAAGAACAAGAACCATTTACAAAATGATGAAACCTGTTAGTATCTCTCAATACAATCCCCCTCCCAGTAACTCTTGAAACAGCCTTCATCCAGGAGTGGCAATCTCCACAAACCCGAAGATTATTTGTAATCCTGATTGGCATTCCATCAGCAGTATGGATAAGCGAGAAGACAGCTGCAATGCGTTCACTATGCCCACAAACCCATGTCACCTTCATCTCTTCATTTACATCATGAAGAACAACACCAGTGTCAGGGATATACCCTGCTTCTTTGATAGCATCAGATAACTCATTCCAGGTTTTCAAATACTCAGCTGAAGAACGAAATTCTGAGCTTCCCCCGGCGATGAATGTATGGATTCTATGCTTTATCTGTGTCCAGCTACATCCAGCCTCTTTCTTTATTCCTCTCATGGCCATCATCTCCCTAACTCTCTTCACACCATGCCACATTTCTGCTTTTGCATAGATGTTTGAGAGCATCACGTAGTTGCCAGGATTGTAAGGTTCAGTCTCAAACAATTTCTTGGCAACAACCTCTGCAAGAGGAACATTTCCGTGAAGACGACATGAGTTAAGCAAGGATCCCCAGATGCTACCACTTGGATTCATTGGCATGTTTTGTACCAAAGATAACGCTTCGTCGATTCTCCCTGCCCTGCCTAATATGTCTACTAAACAAGCATAATGCTCCACAGATGGTTTCACCTCATAATCCTCCATCATATTGAATAATTCTTGCCCTTTGTCAGCAAGTCCTGAATAGCTACAACCTGAAAGCAAGGCAATGAAGGTAATACCATCTGGCCTCATGCCATAACCCATCATTTCATCAAATAAGGCCATGGCTTCTTCAATATATCCATTTATTGCATAGCCTGTCAGCATTGTATTCCATGAAGTCAAATCCCTATTCTGCATGCTGTAAAATACCTTCTTACAGTAATCAAGGGCTCCACATTTGGCATACATGTCCATCAATGAGTTGAGCAATGGCATATCACCTTTCTTCCCGGACTTCACAATCTGCGCATGTATCTCCTTGCCACTATGAAGTGCAGTAGCCCGAGCACACATAGACAAGATTGTTGTAAGAGTAACCCAACTGAACCTGATATTCTGTCCCTGCATAACTCTAAACGCATCAAATGTCTCAGACACTTTGTCTTGAGCTGCAACACCAGCGATTAAAGTGTTCCAAGAAACCACATTTCGTTGAGGCATTTCCTCAAACACCTTTAGGGCCTCTCCCAGGCACCCACACTCGACATAGAACCTCAAAAGTGCATTATTCACCACTTGATCTGCTTCCTCATCACTCTTAATGATTTGAGCATGAACTGCTCTACCCACCAACGAATTAGACGTATCAGCACAGGCCTTAAGAGCCATGGAAAACGCGAAATTGTTAGGTCGAACATATCGGGCTGATAACATTTCACAGTATAACACCAAACCTTCGTTGGAAAATCCATTTCTGGAGTACGCAATCGCCATAGCCACCCACACCGACTGCGACATCTTTTCATCTTCAGGGCCGAAGTTGAAAATCCGGCGAGCCTCATCTATCCGACCACAAACAGAGAAGAGCGTGATGAGCTTGCTCTTCAAAATGGGGTTACGCAAAAGGTCTTGCTTGAATCTGTCTGGCGATCGAAGGAAGTGCAAGTAGAGCTTTAGGCCATGCGAGAAGGACTTTCTGGAGATGCAGGCATGAAGGAGGAAGGAGAGTGCCTCGATATCATCTGGTTCACAGGCAGTGGGCTTCGACGGCGACGACTCGATTAGGCGGAGGGCCTCGTCTAAATTACCGGACTTGGAGAGAAATCTAAGAGTGGAATTAAAGTTGAGTTTGCGAGGATGGGAATTTAAGGTTACCGTTATGTTAGTTTTGACGGTTACTGTCGTTGAGAGAGAAATGGCGGGTAGCATCTTCCACCTCCGTTCTCAAGTTTCAGTTTCCATCACACCCCGAGCTTGGACGCTCGGAGTACTTTAGGTTAATGCCTTCGGTTATAAAAACAAGAATCATTTTTATTTTCACAAGGTATAACAAACATATACTACTTCAGTTACTTAATATAAGACTTTATTTGACTTTTATTTTGATTCTAAATATAAGATCCAAATTTACTTTGTTTCTCATATTTATGTATTTTTTTCCAAAGCAATCTTTATAACAATGAGAGTTCTAGCCAATATACTTAATTAATAAAGATATTTTAAGAAAGACAATACTTATTTGTTACGAATAACTAACTTAACTTCTTTTCTTAATCTCTTCAAATTAGTCAACTAGGTCTTCTAATTAAAATTGGAGGTAATCCTTCTTATTATAAGGAGCCAACAAACTAATTTACACAGATTAAGAAATGATAGTAATAGTACTACCTCCTGTTCTTAATATAAGATCTCGTTTGATTTTTATTTTTGTCCTAAATATAAGACCCTAATCCACTTGATCTCTAATATTTATGTATTTTTTTCTAAGATAGTTCTTATAATAATTGTAGTTCTAGCCAACACACTTGATTAGCAAGGATATTTTAGGAAAGAAAACATTTATTATTACAAATAACTAACTTAACTTATTTTATTAATCTCTTCAAATTAGTCAACTAGCTCTTATAATTAGGAATGGAGGTAGTATTAAATACTATATCTATTTTTTATTATAAGAACTTGTTTAACTTTTAATTTGGGTTTAAATATAAAACCACAATCCACTTTGTTTTTCATATTTATTCATTTTTTTCAAAGTAGTCCTTATAGTAATTACATATATAAAATGTTTTATCAAATGGTAATTTTAGTTAATATACATAATTGGCAAAAGTATTTCAGAAAAGATAAAACTTATTTATAACAAATAACTAACTTAAATAATTTTCTTAATCTTCTTAAATTACTCAATTAGATCTTATATTAAGGACCGGCGATAGTATATCTTAAAAGTATAAAATTTTCCAAACTTACCCTTATAACAAATTTCGAGAAGCTAGTAAAAAGTTATTTACATAAGTAACAATAATCTGTAACGAGGGGTAAATTAGAAAAAAAAATTATTAATGACCTTGTTGACCACTTATAATAAGGGCTAAAATTTTCTTGTACATAACTCCTTATAATAAGAAGCAGAATGAGTATTTAATAATTAATTTTATCTACATTTTACATTTTTTTCTGGCCAACCTACTTTTTACATTTTTAAGTTGGCTAGGAATACGATTTTTCCTTCTATAGATCGAGTTTTTATTTTCATTCTATCTTTGAAACGAAATTTATTTAAATAATTTCTTAATTTTAATTTTATATTGATTAAGCATGTAATACAAAAGGTGGGAACTTTTTATAAATAGAACTTTTACTTAGTAATATTTTTAAGGAAAGTAATTGAAGAATATGAGGGTTGAAGAATTCATATATTTTTGGTTCACGTACGCACCCGCACACTTGATTCCTACCATTGGCAAGAATTTAGATATGTTTTTATGTTTTAAGAGACAAAATTTTTCTTATTACTGATACAATGTAAAGTTATCCAAAGCAAGTGAAATATTTGATTTGAAGTTGTTGACATGCACATACAAGCATAATGGGCTATAAAAAGCTAATGAACTTCTCAAGGGAAGGTTGAAAAAATATTGTAAAAATTGAAAGAAATTTATTAAATCAAATAAAACTATAATAATCACTAATTGATTATCGCAGATGTATTATTGAAGTGTGATGTCACTATTTGTCTCGTATTTTAAAAACTAAAACATAACTAATTTTCTTGTACAAGTTTGTGATAATGGTTAGAAAACTAAACCAGATGATTCGATTGAATAGAAAACCAGCCTTAGCTGATAAATCAGGGTGAAATTTCGTTCTAGTTTTCTTGGGTCCTACTTCATTTCTCATTGTCAATGTGGCTTTCCCACTAATATGATACGACAATTTATTAACTATACCATGAAAAGTCTCATTCTTAGGAGTTAGGACTATAAACATGTACATACATATGCACACACACACACACATATATATTTATATATTCAAAACTCTATAGATATATTAATGACAAATAATGAAAAGTTTCATTTTTGGAAATTTATCTAGATGTTGTCGACATATATTTGTGAGAAAAAACATTAACAATATAAATTTACTTTTTAAAAATATCAATGCTTTATATATACAATCAATTAAATTGATAAGATAAAAAAAATGAAAAGCTATAAATTCATGCTTCTACATGGAAAATATAAGAAACCATAAAATTTAACATTTAATTAATTTTGAGAAATCTTTATCCGAAAAAGATTATGCATAGCCCCCTTGTAGCCACACGAGTGTTTTAATTATTTGTTTGTGTATTACCTCCAATCCTTAATATAAAAGTTTGTTAACTAATTTGAATAGATTAAAAAAACTAATTAAAATAGTTATTTGTAATAAATATGTATTGTCTTTTCTAAAATATCCTTGTTAATTAAGTATATTGGCTAAAACTACTATTATTAATTACAAGGATTACCTTAAAAAATAGATAAATATGAGAGACAAAGTAGATTAAGTTTTTATATTTAAGATCAAAATAAAATTCAAACAATATCTTATATTAAAGACAAGAGAGAGTATACATATGAAATCAATTGCACATTTTAATGAACAATTTGATAACAAATGATTTCATGCGCTTCATAATTGCATTTGCACCCAAATTAAAAATTATTATAACATCTATAAATTACAGAAGCACCATGTAAATAAAATTTGCGTTGCCATATTGTCGTTAAAATATCAATTTTTCTCCAATCATAACCTGTTATGAGATCTACCCATTTTTCCACGAGTGTTGTATATAAGTTTTATGCATATCTTCGGCTCAAACAGTTTCCTTCATCGTTTTTCCTCGCTTTAATCTCATCATCATCTTCATCGATCACAGTCTGCTATGTTTCAAGCTTCCCATATCTTTGGCTTCTTTTCTCAGAATGAACTTCTGAATCTTACCAGTCAAAGTCTTGGGAAGATCCTCCTTGAACACCACCGTCTTGGGCACCATGAACCGCGGCATCCTCCCTCTGCAATACTCCATTATCTCCTTCTCCGTCGGCTTCTTCTCCAATCCCTCCCTCAGGCTCACGAACGCGCACGGCGTCTCTCCCCAGAACTCATCCGGTCTCGCCACCACCGCTGCCTCGTTCACCGCCGGGTTGCTGTACAGCACCGATTCGACTTCCACGCTGCTCACATTCTCGCCACCGCTTATGATCACATCCTTAGATCGATCTTTAATCTCTAAGTATCCATCTGGGTGCATCACTCCAACATCACCGGTGTAGAACCAACCATTCTTGAAGCACTTGGAGTTCGCAGCTGGATCCTTCAAGTAACCCAACATGACGCATCCACCTCGAAGAACCACTTCACCGAGGGTTGACCCATCGCGTTTAACGCTTTTACCTGAATCTGAAACCACAACGTCCACCTCCGTCAGCCCGATTGTTCTCACCCCCTGCCTCGCCTTCAACCGTGCCCTCTCCGTCGCCGGCAGTAAGTTCCACCCAGGCTTCCACGCACATGAAACCACCACCCCGAGTACTTCTGTCAGCCCATACCCGTGAGTAACAACAAATCCTAACGCTTCCGTTCGGTGCAGCACTGCCGCAGGTGGCGGCGCTCCACCCGTGAGGACCTGAACGGGCCTTCTTAGAGGTTTTACTCTCGGGGAGTTTGTTAACATGTTGAGCACCACCGGGGCGGCGCACATGTGTGTGACGCCGTGGCGTTCGATGAGAGCGAACACGGTGGCGGCATTAAACTTACGGACGCAGATATTGGTTCCTCCGACTGCTGCCATTCCCCACGGGAAGCTCCAACCATTAGAGTGGAACATATTTAGTGTCCAAAGGTAGACCGGTTGTTTGGGAACGGCCCAGTCGATCAGAGAATCTACGGTCATCACGAAGGTCCCTCGGTGGCAATGAACCACCCCCTTCGGAGACGAAGTCGTACCGGACGTGTAATTCAAGAGCATCGGATCCCACTCGCTTTTGGGTCGGACCCACTGGAAATTCGGGTCACCCTTCGCCAGCAACGCCTCGTAGGTGTCGAAGAATCCCTCCAATGATGTGGGTCCCACTGAGTCGTCAGTAATGAGTATAAGGATAGGGCGTTGAGTCTCCGGCGGCAGCAAGGAGACGGCGTCTAGTACCAGAGCGCGAGAGAGGCAATCCACGAAGACGAGCTTGGATTCACCATGGCGGAGTATGACGGAGATGGTGCGAGCGTCCAGGCGGGTGTTGATGTTGTTGAGGACGGCGCCGGCGAAGGGAACTGCAAAGTGGAGCTCGTACATGGCGGGGATGTTGGGTGCCACGACGGACACGACATGGCCACGGCGGATTCCGATGGAGGAAAGAGAGGAAGCTAGTTGGAGACAGCGACGGTGGGTTTGCGACCACGTGAAAGTGGTGTTATTATAGATGATGGAATTGCAGTCGCCGTAGACGGTGGAGGCTCTTTCGAGAAAACCTAAAGGAGTGAGAGGAGAAGAGTTTGCAGAGCCTGGCTTGAGATATTCCATATCGACGATGATGAAGACGAAGACTCAATTATTTGCTTCAACTATACGCAGGACAGCACTTCCAGTATAAACGATCAGGAATCAGGGAGAAATTGTTGGGACATGGTTGAAGAGTGATATACTAATATACTAGCTCCCGCACTAATTATAATTATAACACGTCGTTTATAATTAGAACTGAAGATAGTATATAATTATTAAAAAAGACAATAATAGTAAAAATTAATCTAGAACTGAAGTATTCAATAATAAGAAGGATGATGTTGATGATCATGATGAAGGCAAAGAATTATATTATATTATATATGTTTGTGCCTATAAAATGCAGAGAAAAGACGAGAGCCGATAAATTATTTATCCTTCTAAATATTTTTTATAAATAGATGCACATGCAAGTGCATTGTCTTTGTCATTTAAAAAGGGAAAAAAAACAGGAATACCCAAAAAAGGTTAAAAAAAATATTGGTTTTAATTTGTTTTATCTCTCTAAGATAAAATTACAGTAACTTTGTGTTTCCACGCTGCAATGTACGTAAACACTCATGATGGAGGAGGGATCATTTGATATTACTGTATTAATTAAGTGAGTAGTTTAATCTGACTCTTGTGGGCGCATTAAATAATGAAAGCTATATAATTTTGAGATTAGCAATTTGGCAGACACATTATAATGGCTTAGTTGTCTCTAAAAAGTCAATCTTAGGATTCGCACGGATGTTATTCGATTACTGTTTTTTTTTTCTTGAGTGAAAGATGCTTTGTTGCTTAAAGTATTTACAACGGTAGGACAAGACCAATAGAAAAGCCCATCTTACACGAAAGAAAAATTACAAAATCAAGCGCTTAAAGAAATCTGCAGACTTGGAGCATGTTTGGATTACAGTTAGAAATTACAAAAGTGTTTTGAAATATGTGAAACTGAGGTTGCAAATTGAGTTGGACAAAAATTGTTGTTTGGTTGAGCTAACTTTTTCAATTAATTTCTGGCTTTCAACCTTAGTTGGACTCAATGGAGAAAAATTTGACTTTTCAAACTACAATTTCAAATGGTGATTATCAAAAATGAGTATCCCACATTTACCCTCGCATTTTTCTCTCTGCCTCATCCCCTTCATTAGCATAATGAGCTTTTATTTAGACCCAATGAATTTTAATTTATATTCATGTTTGTCCATTATGTATATCTAATTAATTATCTATAATGTGTTTTTAAATTTTTCTTTGTAACAAATATTTTCATTTTATAATTTCACAAATGAACTATTTATATTTTATCATAATAATTTTACATATTTTTAAACTATTATCACATTAAAAACATAAAATTTCAAATACAACTATTCAATAAAGTTCATGTCCTTTCCAGTTATTTTACAACTAAACTAACTTTTCTATTAATCATTTAAACAACTTTCAACTTTTTCAATTGACTTTTTAAAAACACCTATCCAAACATGTCCTAACTGACATTTACTCTAACTTTTTACAAAAATCAGTTGAGCTAAAAGTCAGTTTTGGCACATTGTGATCAGGCAGCGATAGGACTTCATTGACTAGTCTATATGGCTGAATATCTTCTTTGCTAAAATGGCCACGGCGGATTCCGATGGAGGAAAGAGAGGAAGCTAGTTGGAGACAGCGACGATGGGTTTGGGACCACGTGAAAGTGATGTTATTATAGATGATGGAATTGCAGTCACCGTAGACGGTGGAAGCTCTTTCGAGAAAACCTAAAGGAGTGAGGAGAAGAATTTGGAGAGCCTGGCTTGAGATCTTCCATGTCTACGACGGCGCCGACGACGACTTAATTATTTGCTTCAACTACACAAAACAGCATTTCCAGTTTAAACGATCAAGAAAGAGGGAGAAATGCGTCCGCCTTCCGCGCTCATCAGCCTGATGAGCGTGCTCAGCACTCGAACGGTAAAAAAGGGAGAAAAAGCAAACACTCTAAATTATTTTTCAGATATGTCAAGCATCCTAAAAATATTTTTCGATTCATCCATCACCTTGAAATATTTTGTCAAATCCATCTAATATCCTAAAATATTTTGTTATTCATCCAACGTTTAAAATATTTTTCAGATACATCAGTATTTTTACTGAATACATGTGAAAAAATATTTTAGAGTATTAGATGAAGCTTAATCCAAAAATAATTTTCATATACACTACCCCAATCCTTAATATAAGAATTGGTTGATTAATTTGAGTTGATTAAGAAAACTAGTTAAATTAGTTATTTACAATAAGTATGTGTTATCTTTTCTAAAATATTCTTACTAATCAAATGTATTGACTAAAACTATCATTATTACAATGACTATTTTGAGAAAAAATAGATAAATATAAGAGATAAAGTGGATTAGAATATTATATTTAGGACCAAAATAAAAGTTAAACAAACTTTCATATTAAGAATCCGAAATAGTATATATTTTTGCAATGAACAAGAAGAGGAAAAAAAGCACAAAAAAAAAAAGAGACTCAGGTTCCCCACTGCTCAGCACCCAAAACACCAGCATTTTGAGTGTTGAGCACGTCGTGCTCATCACCCTAATGCTATTTAATACATATGGTTTTCAAAGAAAATAACTATATAAATAAATGATAAAATAGTATATTTATGCCAAAAATTTAATGAAGTAACTTATATATAGGTTTAAGAAAAACTTCCTCTGTACTTTATAAACAAGACGAATATTTTAACCATTTTTCCATATTTCGTGCTTCAGCAAATTGCAGTTGTTTGTTTTCCAAATGACAAAAACAATACACCTGCATGTGCATCCATTTATATAAAATATTTAGAAGGATCAATAATTTATCGGCTTTCGTCTTTTCTCTGCCTTATATAGGCACAAGTTTACATACATGCTCTGCATTCAGTAGTCATTATTATAATGCAATCTAAACCATTCGAAATCTAATATAGATAGTTTAGATTTAAAACTTTTAATATATAATTTTTTCAAGGATAAATTTAACTTTTAAAGATATGTTAATTATGATATTATATTTATTTTAAATTTGAATTTTGTATCTATTAAAACAAAAAGTTCATTAAAATATAGAAAAAATTTAAATTCGATTTGAACCATCTAAAATTGATCTGGATGGTCCAAATTGCGATGAGCACTCCATGCTTATCATTGTGATGAGCATGGGATGCACTCCCGTATTAAATAAGAATAAAGTTATAAAGTTATTATATTTTAATGAAAAGTTAATGCAGTTTAAGGTTTTTATTGGTCTATGTAAAATATACTAAAAGTGTTTTATAAATAAGACTAGAGGAGTATTAATTAAGTAAGTATTAGCTCTAGTTTTTAATATAAAACCTAATTGACTAATTTGAAAAGAAATTAAGAAAGCTGCTGAATTACTTTAAACTATTTATATTTATCTTTTTTTTAAAAAACTAATTTACTTTACTTATAAAGTGATATATAATCTAATGATCCACATAAGTATTTTAAAGAGATTATATAATATATGCTATAAGTAAGAATTTAGTAACTTTCTTAATATTTCTAAATTAGTTAATTGGGTCTTATATCTAATAGTTTAATCTGACTCTTCTGGGTGCATTAAATAATAAACGATATATAATTTTGAGATTGGCGATTTGGCAGATACATTATAATGGCTTAGTTGTCTCTAAAATGTCAATCTTAGGATTCACATGGACGTTATTCAATTACTTTAATGTATACAGGATAAGTCTCTGAAACTTAATCACACACATATATAGTCACATAAATAATATCATATATAGATATATATTACTTCCAGTCATTAATATAACATCTATATTAAAAACCAAACATAGCATATATTATACATAAGATGGGTTGGAACAATCTTCACGTACACTTCACCCTATAATCTTGATTACCTGAGCTAGTTTCCGGTAGCTTACACATACATTAAGTACCTAATTAAGCAATACTAATTATATACTCCCCCGTACTTCATATAAGAGTTATTTGACTAATTTGAGTAGATTAAAAAAATTAGTTAAATTAGTTATTTGTAATACATAGGTTTTATTTTTTCTAAAATATCCTTGCTAATAAAATGTATTAGCTAGCATTGCAAAAAAAAAAAGCAAATTAATGATGGAATTTAGTGACAAAATTTTCGTCACTAAATTGGCAAAAATAGAACTACCATCTCATGTAACATTTAACATGTATAACTATTACAAAAATTACCTTAGCAAAAATAGATAAATATAAGAGTCAAAGTGAATTAGGGTCTTATATTTAAAACTAAATGAAAAATCAAACTAGTTCTTATATTAAAGATCAGAAGTATTATAATACTCCTCTTGTCCTCTTATCCCTAACATAGGAATTAATTTGGGAGTTAGATTTGATCTTAAATATAAAATCTTATTTCATAATATCTTTTATATTTGTTATTTTTCCCTAAATTAGTTAACCTAACTTATAAGTAGATATATATATAATTTAATAATATTATGTAGAATATTTTAGAGAAGTCGCATATGTTATCCTTAACTAATTTATCTGACTCTTTTAATCTATTTAAATTACTGAAGTAGATTTTAGTTATATTAAGAATAGGAAGGAATAAATACTATGTAAGTTGGAAATCGGCCGGAAAATTGAATCTTGGTACGTAAATTAAATAACTGAAATTTATATTGTAAAACTTCTTCCCCTTCCTTTCTTCTTAACCAGGTGAGCTTTAAGGCGTTCTTAGCTTATTATTTAAATTATAACTGAAATTAATTTTCTTGTACTCAAGTTGTAATTATTTAAATTGGAATTGACTAATTCATTATTTGTAAACTAATGCATATGGATTATATTCATCTTGGTTTTTATGACACTCCTCTCCTTATTATGAAGCCATCGATTGTAATCTCCTACTTCCTGTCTCATTGTCCATGTGGTCTCCCCCAATAATAATATAATTCCATTCGATCTTTTAACTTTTTACTGATTTACAAGTAAAAAAATTAATAGTAGTTAAACTATCAGAAAAATAACATAGTTTTGTATAGATAA